TGTTTGTCTGTCATGTTTGTCCGTCTCTCTGTCTGTCTGTCTGTCTTTTTGTCTGTCTGTCTGTCAGTCTGTCTGTCTGTCTGTCTGTCTGTCAGTCAAGTGAATAGATGTTCTTTTTAATCTTTCTATATTGCTGACCAGATATTAATTTATTCAATTTGTCATATTTCTTTTCAAACAAGGAGCACGGTGGTGTTCTTGAATGTTGTTGGAGCGCTTTGTGGAATGTAACAGGTAAAGACAATATTGACAACAACTTTGTTTTAGCCATCTTTTCATTCTCCACGCTTAGTTTTTTTTGAATAAAACATCATCATTATCATCCATTTATAATCAGTCCAACAACTGGACTTAAGCACTCACTTCCATCTTCTCGCATTCCTTTTCTATTCTCGTTTACTATCTCCGTTCGTTCGTTCGTTCGCTCGTTCGCTCGTTCGCTCGTTCGCTCGTTCGCTCGTTCGCTCGTTCGTTCGTTCGTTCGTCTGTCCGTCCATGCGTCTGACCGTTCGTCCGTCCGTGCACCATCGTCGTCTGTTCACCATCTTCCATTGGTTTATAGAATCATTCATTSCTTTACTTATCTGTTCGTTCATTGATAAATTGATTAATTTATTCCATCTTTTATTCATTTATTAATCAATTGACTCCGGGATACTTTCTCATTCATTTTTTTAGCTTTCATTCATTCCTTTCTGTCTTCCTTCCTAGCCCTATTTATTCTTTAGTACAATTTTCTTTCTTTTAGTTTTATTTCTCTTTGTTTTTCGTTTCATTCCTTTCTCTTTTCTATCCTTTCTTGTTTTTTTTTTTCTTCCAGTATTATTTTTAGTCTCGACTTCCATTATCTCCACTTCACCACAACGTCAAATACTCTCCTCATTTTTATTCCAGTTCTTCCATCTTGTCACGAACCCGCCATCTTTACTGTATCCTCACCTTGCTTCTATCAACAAGTCATTAAAAAACGCCGGAAAAAACTGTCAAAATCTGACATTTCATTCTTTCTTCAGTGTGTATTAGAATCACTGTACAAATAAAATACTCGATTAATTTGCATATCGGCAAATAAATAAATTATATTTTTYCATGATTACGAAATTGTTATTTTTTGATTCTTAATATTTTTATACATCAAATTTATTAAAATAATTTTCGTACGCTATTTCCAGCGTCCATGCAATCTTTAAAAAACTATTATCTTGTAAATGTGGATTACTGCATCTTACTYCCCAAATTCTAGGTTAAAATTCACGTAAAAAATAAAAAATAAAATAAAGAAAAGTGTTCTGTGTTTATTCGAAATATGAAAGGCGAATTTTGGCTCAAAAAATTACTTAAACCATTTTATTTTAACCAGGTTTTTGCTTCTGCAGTCTCGTTAAAATTATCTTGACATTTCTCTGCAACTCACTTTACATAAACAGCCAAATAAAATTCCAGTTTTCGGATGAATAAATCTTAAAAATTTACCAACTGTTTGATAAATGTTTTCTCATCCATCCTTAGGAAGAAGTTACGAAAAAAAAWTTTCTAGACCTTGTAACATTGTTTTTTCCCAGTTAAGGATGAACTCGAATTCACTCGGTTCTAGCAGTTTATTTAATTCCTCGAAACTTCAAAATAAATCTTGGAATTTCAAACTGTGTTTAACATTCAAAATTTATGCCAGAATTGATTCGCATCAATAATAAATAAAGATTCTCCAAGTTCAATAAATTTAAGAAATTTAAGCTTTATATTTATTCAAAACTATAATTTTACACATATTCCTATAAACCTCTATTTCGCATTTTTTTAAAGACTATTTTATTCCTTAATTGCTTAATTATTCAATTTTCGATTTGCCCGTATTGTTTTGAATTAGAAATGCTATCCTTCGGATTATATTCAGTTTGTTTTGTTTTAAAATATTCACGGCTGCGCCATCTGCCGAAAGAATACGTCGAACTTTTGAAGATACTTTGAGTGACTTTGTAAATAAAGTGAAAAATGCAAAGCCTTTTGGTCATTTAGTCTTTAAATTTGGTCTTATGACTTTAAAGCTACGATTCTTGTACTAATTAACTGGAGAATTCGTATGTCTTTTTTGTAATGCCGTACGACAATAGTCGTAAACGTAGATAAATTCTACAATATTTCAGGTAAATTTTGGTAAATTCAATTTAATCCGGTTCCAAACCCTCTTCCATAGCCAGTGGCGCAATTCCTTCTTTTTCTTGTAAGGATTCATTTCTGTTCATAAAAAAATTCACAATCCTCTGGTCGTCTGTTTGCATAGCCATATCAATAGGTTTTATACCATCGTTGGCTTCAGCATTAATACTTGCACCATACTTCAATAATAATAAAACCGTATCAGGATCACCACCACAGATAGCAGCATGTAATGGTGTCCATCCTTCCCGATCTCGTAAATTCACATYTGCACCAAACTTCATAAAAACCCTTAAACACGATAGCTTTCCTTGGAAAGCAGCTTCATGAATCGGAGTCCCTCCRCTTGCGTTCAGTCCATCGAGAGAGATATTCGCTGCAGACGTCAAAAGTCGTTCTAGCAAACCAGAATTATTCTGAGCAACTGCAGCGTCTAAAGTGTTACTCGGGTTAAGATGCGTGCAGTCATATGAAGTTTTTTGCTTTTCCGAGAAGTCAGAATCGACGTCTCCACTGTGAATTAATATTGACGGTAATGTTTTAATTTTAATTTTTTGAGCGTCGTCTTTGTCGGTCGTCGGTAGCGTTGAACTCGAATGGCAAATCGAGAATCCTCTTTGGCGTTTCGTGTATTGATAGCGGGGTCGTTTAGTCTTGCTTTCTTCCATCTTGTCGTCGTATAAAAATGATATCCTTACACAGTTTTTGATCCAGATCGTTGGCTTGCGGTTTCAGTTAAGCATGCTGTTGTAAAATAATCCTAAAGCTTTGACTTTGGACTTGTTGTTTTTAATTTTTCTGCGAACTTTTAGGTCACTAGAGATGGCATTATGCACGTCACAAGACCCAAGTATTTTTACACCAAATTTCCCAACGYTTTCAATTGATGTTTGGTGGAATTAGAGGTATGTGGAATTCAATTGTGAGACGCCGCAAGATAATGTATTTACAGTGTATTTCACACTGRTCGAATGAATACTTACATTTTTCAACGTATCGAAAAATCCACGAATGATCTCTGTTGAGCACAGTGGGAAATCTATTTTGCACTTTCTCTGAGAGCTGTGTATATTATAAGGCTATTATTTCAAAGTAAGCTTGACAAAGTCCTTTAGTTATATCCGCTTGGACTCGACTGACAGAATACAAGTGATGTACGTCGAGTCGACGTCAAAATCAGACGGCAATGTGATATTAAAGTCCCATAAATTTTTGTGTCAAACCAGAGTTGGTGATCCAAAGCGTAAAACAACCAGACGAAACAAAGAAACGAACTGTTCCAAGCCGTTATTGATATTGTAAAATTCACACCAATATTAAAATCAAAGTTTGAATAAAACTCTTCAGGCATTCCCSTGATAACTGTCCAAAGATTGTGGATGGCAGAAGATAGCAGACAGTGATGGAAATCCAGATTAAGTCTATAGAACCAAGACTATAGACTCAACATTTCACTTTATTCATCTAACTTCACGGTTCAAGTGAAGCATGACCGATGAGCTCTTACCCTTTCTCACGACGCGTACGTAATCAACTCTAATAACTCGAAATACTTTTATGATTCAAAAACCATTAACGGCGTTTTTAGTGATCAGAGAACTAGTTTTTGTGGTTATTGCGTGGTACATTTTTACCTGTTTTTTTTAGTGCTTTCATGAATATTCGAAAATTCATTAACTAGAGAGTTAAWCTTAAAATTGCTTTTGATTTTTATTTGTTTACAGTTTGAAAAAAATAAGATTTAACATCTATGTGTAAAATTTTTGCTTAATTGTTTGTAAAAGCTTAAAATATGGGTTTATAAAAACAATAGAAAAAAGAAGAAGAAAATGGATACTAGAATTTTTAGTTTTCGTTTCATTTATTTGTTCTCAAGCTTTTTTATCCCAGGGACTCCTCTTTTGAAAGGTTTTTTCTTTACAAGATAATCTAAATAAAGCCGAGAGCTCATCCGTTGTAAATCTACTGTTATCTCGTACATGCCTTTTGGCTTTTTAATCAATATTAGTAGCTACTCCTGATTAACTTGCTCTGATCTTGCGAAATTGAAACAAAAATGCCTATCGAATGCGCGCGCGGTCGAAAAAACTCAAGCAACTGGAAGGGTTAAAAAAATTGAACGTTATGAGTCCAAAAAATCTTCCAATTTTTCCATACCGTATTTGTTATAATTAATACTTAGACRCATAGGCATTGCTAAAGAAAATTAATTGATTGTTATGGATTTTTYAGAAGTTAAAAACAAGCCCAAGTCAAAACAAAAGTCTGTAAAAACTGAAAATTAGGCACACCCACAGCTTCGATTTATTATTATTTACGTCTATACTTGGTAAGTGGGAAACCAGTCGCTAAACGTAGCCAGCATGATTTTTAAGTCAGAAAATTGATTCTATTTTTGCCTCGAATAAAGAATGTGGCACTTCGTTTAAAACATCTTGAATAAAAATATACTTGAAGATTTTAAAAAGATTTTGTCCTATAGTAAAGTTATTTTAAAAAACCTATTACCATTTGCTTATATTAATATTTCAGATAACGATTTGAGTCTATTTTTGAAAGCTGTATTTAATTTAGCACTTCGTTAAAAACATTTGATATAAAAAATTTACGAGCTAGTTTCAGTAAATTAATAGTAAATTTATGAATATAAAAAAATATTCAATTTGGTATATTTATATTTTAGCCAATCTGTATTGATTCCCAAAGTCAATATCCATATCTGATTTTCCTCTTTAAGTTCTTTACTCATTAAACAAAAGCATTTCAAAATTTTGCGAATACTATGATTTCGTATTTCTAGATAATATTGAGTATACTTTTTTTCTTATCTTCTGTACTTATAGATATCTATTTTAGTTCGTTAGTCCTTCGGTCACCATTCGGCCGGCGTTCGGTCGACGTTCGGTCGAAATAAATCTCTTTACCTTGGTGTAATGGACACGAGTGAAAAACGTCGAGTCAAAACACATGAAATTTGACTTTCAAACATGCCTGATAAATTGGACTTCACAAAATGACAAAACTTAGTGTCCATGCTTGAAACTTAAGGCTAATTCTTTCATATTGTGTTTGTTAATACAGTATCTTGGGGTCTGACAAAAGTATACTCTCGAACGTTTTTGTATACTTGGAGAAAACAAACATTTATTTTTTCACTCAAACTCTTCAAAATTCTTAGAAAACGTGCTGAAATGCACGCATGCGYAAACGGTAGTGTCTCTAGTGTCGGTATAATGTTTTCCCATTTCGGAGCACGTCATTTTTCGTGAAATTCAACGAACATGGCTGCTATTACCAATCACTTTGGCAATTGCAAACAGAACAGATATCAGTTATGAAAAGAAAGCAAATTTAGTGAGAGGAAGTGACCGTGAAACTCATGACTGATCACTGATTGCTGGCTGAAAAAATAATGAACTACCTTTTGCTGTTTGGCTTATATTCGCTTTGGGAGGTGAAGGAGAGTGTCGGTTGTCTGGGGAAATACCTAAACATTGAAATGGCTTCCAAATTTTTCCGTGCACTTTTATCCAATCACATTTACAACCCTTAGCTAAATKTACAGAAAGCGATACTCGGTAAAGAAATGTAAAAAAAAAATTCCTATTTCGAAATTCCTTTCACGAAATATGTCTAAAAAATATCACATAGTCCGAACCAGCTCATGCGTTYCTATCAAGGGTAGTTTAATTTCCATCTTGCTTTGAAACTTGCACTTAGTAATGAAACGAACGTAAATTTGAAATCTGGGATCGGATTAAAAGCTTATTTAGTTCTTYACAGATACGTRCAAATCCAAAATTATTTCGGCTACAGTTGTAGCTACCTGTTTGTAGCTATATGTTTGCTCTGTTAATTTGGTCAAAAAGTCCTTACACAAATATACATTTTGCCGAAGTTTTGAGGTTACAACTTTACGTTCGTTTCATTTATGCAAATTTCAAAGTAAGGTGAAAATCCAACTTCGAATAATAAACTGAATGTTTAAACCTCGATAGGAACGTATTGGCTGGTTTGACTGTAATGAGTCTTGTCACGATTAATTAGTCGTACTTTATCTAATGATTGATGGCTGATGACGCTAAGCTAACCTCAAAGCATCGTAATGTTGATTAATCTTTAGTGGGATAAATTTCTTTGTTGAGAGCAAGCCATAGAATGTCTGGCATATATTAAGCTTAATTGATGAATTCCCGTTGACATCTTGAAACTTGAAGAAAACTAGAGTATTGCGCATAGAGTAGATTTCGCTCCAATATGAAAACCAATGGCATTCTCGTACCCTYTCGCGAGGACGTGTCGTCATGGTCACGTCAAGGTACGTCGTTTCGTGRGATTCTTCGCAGTCGTACGAAATCTGGTCGCATCCTTGTCTCCATTGTTGTTAAGAGAGAATTCTYATATTCAAGCAGTGAGCGCCAAAAACTAATATAMTTGAAGAAAGGCTGTTGTACAAGGCTATAATCTTGTTATTCAGAAAGTTTAACTTGTTTGGAAGTGGAGATGACCGATGAAAGTGGAATCAAAATGTTAACCCAAAGCAAAAATTTTATTCGAAAATGAGGTATAGGCCTTCATTTGCTTATTTCCCATAAACAACATTCTAACACAAATGCWACAAAACATCTTTGTACAATTGAAAATACCGMTTCAAACAGGCATTTTATCATATTACATCAGTTTCTAACTGTTTAAAAAAGGTTTTGAGTGTTAACCCAAAACGAAAATTGGGAKCAAAACTCATACGAAAGTCTAGTTTTTGGCGCTTTTTGCCATTATTGCTCATTATTGAAAAAMATTTCCTCTTAAACGTTTATTGTACTTCCATACTTTAAAGAAAAATAAGAAAATTATTTCTTATTCAGTAATCTTTTTATTACTCATTTAATTCGATTCCGAAGTAAATACCGCTTAACATTATTGATACAAAWTAATATTATCTAAAATTATGAGATGTCACAATCTTGTTCTCCGAGCATGCGCAGTAAAAAGAGCAATGGGTACGAGATTGGAGAGARTGATGGTAGTCGATCATGTGAAAGAAATGTTTGCACCTGCACATTTGACTGGAATTCAAGAGCGTTTTGGTATGCAAAGAGATGCTAGTTTTCTTAATCTCTACACAAATTCCGTACGTGAAGTACGTTTGTAAAGCAATTTCAATACACACTCAAATTTTAGTGTTTTTATCAAATTTGCGTAAAAATTAAAACTACGAGATGACATTGCAGTAAATTTTGGGACTGTTTAGGAGTCATGTTTCCAAAATGGGGTTGATTCTTCCCCATAACAGTCCCAAAATACAATGCAAATTCAACCGTACTCCACTCAGTCTTTTATTAAACCTCGAAATGGCTAATTTGGACTCTGTTATCATTCACTGTTATTTTCTTGCGTCTAAACGAATATCAAAAATCAAGAAATCCAAACAKTACTCTTAATAATCTCCAAATCACATTCGTCGTTCTTCGGGCTTAAATATTCATGAATTTGCCACGTCAAAAGAAGACAAACACAGCGGTTGTCAAMAAAAGTTTGGCATTAGTACATGGCCTTATTTTCAGCCCGCACAAGCCACAACTACCAGTTTGCAAAGCCACAACTATATAGCGGCTAGACACCTTAAATCTCCCCAGATGGCCCCATTATTTATTGCAAAAAAATTTCTATTTTGGCCTACTTACAGGAAAAAATCTCTCTCTCTCTTTTTAAATTTATATTTTCAGGTTCTGTGTTGKGTAGGAGAAGACTGAAATAAAAATGTTCATCCTAGTTCCCAGTTTCTCCGCGTTCATTTTGTTATTCGTAAAATCAACTTTTTTCGGTATTCTGGTTTCATTGTTTTGACGGCTTTTCGCCCCAAGTAATTGTCACCAGAGTCAAAGATTTTCACTCTAAATTATTTCGAGGAATACTTGATCAGGCATCCGTTTCTCCAATCGCCACTCCTCCTTCCATGTGTTCRTAATAACTTGAGCTGGAATTCTGAAAACAATACACAAACAGGTTTTAGGTTCTGGGCACAGGGAGCCCATCGATATAGAGGCTTTGCACCATCACGTGATGGCAGCCATGACAGGAGGCAGGAACAATTGAATCTGGTCTCATCTGATTTACATGAGAAAGAATTCAGTTTCCCAGGAGAAAAAGACTCTATGCTATGCCTCCTGTCATGGCTGCCATCACGTGATAGTGCAAAGCCTCAATACACACGTTTGAACATGTTTGAAGACTTTATTATGAAGAGTCTTAGTTCTCAAATTTTTAAAATTAGGGTAATTAGCCACATTTCTGCATCAAAATATCCACAAATACCAACGGTAAAGTAAAGAACGCACATTTTCAACAATATGAACACTTTGAAATTTCACGGACATTCACTGGAACACGTATATGATTTTACACAAAATGGAGGTTAACTCTGAGGAACAGAGGATTCGAAGTGAAATCGCTGCTTTTCAATGATTCTAATGACAATAACTAATGACATAATGAAAGGACTTGGTCTTTTTGGTAATCAAGATGGCGGCTACGAAAACCACAACTTGGAGTAATAGACCTCACTAGATTGGACGTTTGTTTTGACATTTCCAGACCACGTGTCATAATAATAATAATAATAATAATAATGGTTTAATCAATAGAATCCACGAGGTGGCTYTTCTCCTATTGATAAAACTATCTAWTTTACAATAACATACACACAAGATAAATTTACGATAAACTATGAAGCTATAAAATAAATTAGACATAATAAGAAATAAGATTGACATAATTACTATTGAATTATTCTAAGCTAGACAATTATTATACATAAATTTGTCATTCATTTGAGAATAGGATTATTTGTTTTATTTGCATCCAAACAAAGAAATGATACTCAAGGAAATGACACGTGGTCTGAAATAAACAAAACATTACGCCCAAGCGAAAGAGGTGTATTCCCTAGATATCTCTTGGCATCCTATGAAGCTAAATACGTATACTTACAGGTACAAAACCCTTTAGACAGTGCAGCTCAATATACAGATCATCGAATGAAGGCCGTAGGGCGGGATTGGCTTCCCAGCATCTTAACATAATGTTATACCTAAAGCAAAAAAAGTTAAAAGTGTCAGAGGGGAGGTGGTAGAAATATTCTCTATGTTATAGTATATTAAGAGACAGTGGCGTAGCGAGAGAGAGKCCTGGGGTTGATTTAGCGAGCAGACGCGTTTTGGCTCCGAAATTTCCCTCCAAATCCGTTGAAAAATGTATAAATTCATTAAACTATCAACGCGTTTTGGCGCCAAAAATTCACACTAAATCCATGCAAATTCATGCCTTTTTCAATGTTTTCAAACCTTTTACTGAATTAATTGTTCCTGAAAACTAATAMCAAGGGAGACATTTAAGGATATGTGACGTATTTTTATTTTAAAAGAYCTGTGTTTTGTGTCAAATTCAGGGAAGAAAAACTCCGAAAAGCTCTGGTCTGCTCCCTCTTTGCTTTTTGTAGACATAGTTGTATTATCTGAAGGATCAAACCTTTYTCAACTTACAGTTCAATTGAACAAGCCTCCGGTTTTTCGAGTCTGTATCCTTGTTTTAAAGCGCTCAACATCTCCATGACCGAGAACGCTGGATATGGAATGCAAGCTAGAGGAATAAGACGATATGATTACTTTACGGGGCTCTCATTTATTAGCGCATGAAGGAAAGACGCGGGGCGGCTAAAATTTTAAGGGGATTTACTTTATTTTGATCATGAGAAAGTGGTTAGGAGGGCGGTTATCACATATTAAGGGGGCTGAGAACTATTGCATGATGATGAAAGGGGGTTATGCATTTGTTGCCTCTGCCATGGGGGGTGGGGCTTTCCATGTGGTTTCCATACGCTGATAAATGAAAGCCCTCCTAGTACAGGACAAACAAAAATTTGAAGTAAGATATTTAATAACGGAAGGGGAAAGAGAAAGAAAGAGTAGAGTTTGGACTGAAACCACAGGAAACCCAGCCCCTGTATCTTTGTTGCCGTTACAGAAAGTTAAATCAATAGACCCTTTTCGAGTTCCAAATTACCGCTGTGTTTCTTGATTACAGACTCATTTACTCAGGCTTAGCCTCGATTTAGGGAAGAATATTCATTTATTCCAGTCAAGGTTCGTCAAGTTTCAAAGTGTTCGTATTGTTGAAGTTTTGCTTTCTTTACTTTACTGTTGGTATTTGTGAATATTTAGACACTGATGCGAGGCCAAGCCTGAGTGAATGAGTCTGTAATCAAGAAACACAGCGGTAATTTGGAACTCGAAAAGGGTCTATTTATAAGTTTCAGTACGTATGGGCGTAATCTTTTGGCATTTCAGAACTCCAGTCAAACTATAGAGTATCATCACCTATTCACATGAATATGGATACAACTCAAACATGGAATCTTATTATCAAGAGAATGACAAGTGGTCATGAAATGGGGGAAAATTTACGCTCAGCTTAAAAGTCTATTGTGAAAGAATCGTTTTATGTCTGGCACGTGATTTGACCCACCCCCCCCCCCTTATTTTTTAAATCTTACCTCCAGTTTCTATTTCCCAAAGAACCACACCAAATGACCATCTACAGCAAACAAGGTTAGAACAAAAAACATTATTTGTAAAAACGAGTCAAAACTTTATTACAGTGTGACATTTCTAAAGGTCAATAAGGTCTTGCACTAAAGTAATGAGACAGGAAGCCCAAGCCTGTACTTACACATCACTCTGAGTGGTGTTTAGTCCTGCTTCGAGAGCTTCAATGGCCATCCACTTGGCTGGAAGTTTACCCTATGAAACAAAGCGATGATACGAGCCTGTTAATGAGATTTTGTATTCAGCTGATTGATAGCTGAAATGAAGGAGTGACGGACAGTGTTTGCCCGTCATCGTAGGCTGGTAATGAGTTTCATGGGATTCATTCAGCTCGTGATACCAAGCAATAGAATATTAATGGTTGATGACACATGACGGGCAATCTTTGCCTGTCATTTTGATGCCATGCCATACAATATTCTGTGGTAGATAGCACAAGACGGACAACCTTGGCCTGTCATTGTATAATATGYAATAGAATACTCAGTGGTAGATAGCACATGACGGGCAGTGTTTACCTGTCATTTTAATACCATGCAATAGAATATTCCGTGGTCGATAGCACCTGACGGACAGAGTTTGACTAGCTGATATTACCTACCCCTGTAGTCTTCTCATACACGGCACTGCTATAGACGTCACGTGACAAACCAAAATCAGAGACCTTGGCCGTCCAGTTTTCATCGAGCAGTACGTTACGAGCTGCGAGATCCCTGTGAATACACTGAAATAACACAAAGAAAAACCATTAAATGGGATAATGTTTTGTTAATTCATTTTTGTTCGACACTTACCCGTCTTCTAGCCAAATGAGCCATACCGTTAGCGATGTCACAGGCTATTTTTAGCCTCTCTGCGGGGGGTATATGGACGACATATTCCGCCATGTCTCCGTAAGATCTACTACTTTGCTTCTGTAAGTAGCGAAGAAGACTTCCGTTGGAAGCGAACTCTACCACGACCAGTAAGGGACCATCTTAAAAGAAGTATCAAATACGTCACAATGAGGCATTTGACTATCAGGTCACGTGGTTCTAACTTCTTTAAACGATCAGTTGTGAACAACTAAAAGGTAAAGTACCTATATTTAACGTCGGTAGTTCCTTCAGTTGAAATTCAACTGCTATCAATGGAAGCCGACGGTACGCACTTTTCCCCCTCTCTCCATCAGTGCTCTGTTTTAAGACGACTCAAAGCTGAAGCTACACGGATTAGWGAGAAGTCGAAACAGACGTTGAGATCCTAAGGATCAAACCGTGGACCTCAAGTTCTGAAGGTCGCGCACTAACCAACTGAGCTACGCCTGCTCCTAAAAACTCACCTCCTGTCGCACAAGCACCAATCAGATTCACGATATTCTTGTGTTCTCCCACTTGAATCATTATTTCCAACTCATTTAGGAGGTCCTTCATGTCGCTATTGCTCGCCAACCCTATTAAAATCGATCGTGAGTACATGAGGCCTATAGGTGGTGTTACACGGAACAACTTGCAACGCCGATTTTTCGTGCAACGCTATTGCGGCATTTGTGTGTCGATTTTTTGCGACATGTTACACGGGAACAACTTTTCGCGCAACATTTACTTTAGTATTCAGTCCACGCGCTGCCAACTCACTCACGGCTATCTTTTTTTTCTTCTTTTTTTGCTTTTATCATTTTTTATCAGCTCCAAAAGTTTCATCTTATCCGTTTCATTAGGTTTAGTCAATCGTTGCAGTTGCTGTACTGTTTAAACTTACTTCTTCTACAGTCGGCGCCATTTTGTCGCGCGTCAAATCGGCGATGGACATGTTACACACATCGATTTGCTGAAAATTCGTCATTGCGTTGCAAGTTTTTAAAGCCAGATCAAAAACTTTCAACGTGTTGCAGAGTGAAATATTGCGCGAAAAATCGTCCTCGGCGCTATGTTACACGGCAACGATTTTTCGTGCAACAGCGTTGCGCGAAAAATCAGCGTTGCAAGTTGGCCCGTGTAACACCACCTTATGGGAGGAAGCGTCGCGTCAACGCGGGTATTAAACCATTTGCATGGAATCATGGTACAGTTGTGTTCCTAAATAAGACCCCCTGCAGCACGTCGAAATGCAGGAGGACAGAACAGTAGGTTTCCAATTCTCATTAGATTGAATTGAGCAGCTCTGACGTCACATGCAGGGGGTCGATACTAATTCACCTTTTCGGCGCTAGCCCTCACGGGGTATGAAATGTTTTAGATTGTGTTACGGTCACCAAAGTTCGGACATTGTTTTCGAATTTCCGTACAAATGTACTGACTCTAAATGAACTATTTACATGGTTATAGTTTAGTTAGTTCTCGAAATACAAGTAAATAATCATTTTTCTAGCTTGATTGAAGCTTTTATTACTGCTGTTAGGATAGCTAACTAAAAAAATCTACCTAAATTTTCTCTTTAAAGTCAGTGAATTTGTATGGAAATCCGAGAACGATGTCCGAACTTTTTGGTGACCGTAACACAATCCAAGCTAACGCCGAAAAGGTGAATTGCCTTTGCATGGAAATTTCAATTAGATCATGGAACGAGAGCGACAGCTTTGTTAGCAACTTTTTTAGAAGTGTTACCGTAAGACAAGACGACTAGATAAGACAGGCCAGGTCAAATTCACTTTCAAATTCTTACTTTTCAATTTTTTCACCGCACATCGTTTTTTGCTACCATCATCTTCTGTTAGGTTGGCCTCTAATACCATCCCAAACTCCCCTTCCCCCAACACTCGACCAAACTCGAGACGACCTCTCTGGATTTCCCTCCACGTGAAAGTACCATCGATGACAATCTTCTCAGTCGGACGAGAATACCGCACAACACCTTCGTCGTCCTAAAAATGGAAGATTTAAAAACTTGATACAGCTGTAGTGGAAAAATTGTAGGGACTAATTACTCAGTCTCAAGAACCACCAAGCTAATTCACAATTCGGTATGTGAGTACGTTAGCCGAGTCCTGACTTAGATCAGCCACGAAGGTAGTTTCAGGGTTCAATCTGTGTGTTAGCCATGTTCTGACTTAGATCAGCCCAGAGGTTGTTTCAGGGTTTGATCTGTAAGTTAGCCATGCCCTGACTGAGATCAGCCCCGAGGTTGTTTCAGGGTTCGATCTGTACGTTAGCCGTGCCCTGACTTAGATCAGCCCAGAGGTTGTTCCAGGGTTCGATCTGTGAGTTAGTCGTGCCCTGACTTAGATCAGCCAAGAGGTTGTGTCAGGGTTTAATCTGTGAGTTAGCCATGCCCTGACTTAGATCAGCCCAGAGGTTGTTTCAGGGTTTAATCTGTGAGTTAGCCATGCCCTGACTTA